GGGGGGGGGCATGTTGGTTGCCTCTGCTTATGTAAAAGGTTTTCTCCACAAATAAAACGTTATTAAATTCGGTGCATCTTAGTCAGTGTCTTTCAACATTACTGCAGCACTAATATTGTAATTACGTGTACAATGTGAAAAATTTACTGTTATTTCCATAAACAGTAAGGACTAAAATTCAATATTTGGTTAAAAACATATAAAAGGACATCCAGATACTGGGTATCTGAGAAAATGATTATTAGTATTAAGGATTTGTGATTAGATTTAATTATAAAAATGTATAATATCCAGGTACCGATTAGTATTAATAATTTTCAGTCAAAAGGTAGGTAAATAATGTGAAATATTACTTGATATGCTCACTGATTTTAGAAATAGGTCCTAAAATGATGTGTTTTTAATTAATGCTTATTTGAATTCACAGTAACATCAGCCTATCAATAGTGCCAGCTCGTATATCTTCAATAAATCCCAAACTAAAGACAAAAACACTAAAAGAAAAAGAGTATTTTCATGTATAGAACTGAATGCTCCATGGCCCCAAAACCACTGCCATCAAAAACACATCAGTGAGAAATACCAGTCAAGCACTGAGGTAGATTACCATTAAGATCTACTCTGCACTGTATACTTTATGCATTAAGGGAAAGCAAATGTGAGTATTTTATATTTACACAGAAATTACTACAGACTATATGGATACACAATGCATGAAGCTACATATGATCTGTTAGTACATGCAGAAATATTTACACAGTGCAGAAGTAAGGCTGTTTTATGTGTGTGCACACAGCAGCATCAGTACCTATATAGCATGGACCCACGGTGATATGGGTGTGGTATCTATATCTGGCAGTACTGCTTTTAAACATGTGATGGCAGCTCTGGGTCACAGTACTGTGACAGACACAAAAGCCTTTTTATTGACACAGTTCAGCCACTTGATAATTCAGTATCAGTAACAATATACTGCCTCCCTTCATGGCATATTGTAGCTTCAGTAGCTAGACCTTTAAAAAATGATATTACAAGTATCTTAGGAAATACGATGTGTTTTGCAAGGTCCTTTCACAGCATGTGTGTTTCAAAATCGCTCAGATTTATTAGACACAGAGTGGTTTAACTAGCTGTATGAAATATTTCTGACAACACTGACTGTTTGCGTGTGGGTCCATGCATTTCGTTTTGTGTACACGCTCACATGTCAGGCGGCTCATGGGCCTTGAGCTGACAGCACAGCCTGTCAGCCACTGACTGATACATCCCATGTGGCAGACAGGACGAAAACCATCCAGATTTGCAGGAGCCACAAACCCTCAGCGGGACGGGGATATTATCTAGGGCCTGTCAGTGTCGGAGCTGACTGTCATTTAGGCTATACTGTGTTCCACATCTCTTCTTGACATCAGCTACTGTCATGTTTGGATTAAATGTTGTCGCAGAACTGTTTTCGGCATGTAGGAACTAGACATAAACACATAACAGTCGCGGAGCTGAAACGCTGTGCTGCGTTTCTCTTTGCACCGCAAACTTTACAGTGGATTACCCTGGAATTTAATGTTTAAATATTATGATTAACAAGAAAATCTCAAGCCTTGAGCCTTTTTTTACCTAACGGCAGAAATGAATAATTCCATAGATTTGCTGACAAAGATGGACTCTAGAGTCCTCCCCTTCAGGATGCCTCTTAAAGTATGATGCATCAGTTGGATGCTAAGAATTAAAGTGGCCTAAGTGGTACTAAGGTGTGGATGATGCAGCTGATGCCGACACGGAAAGTGGTAAATAACAACCCTTCCATCCACTGCGCTTCACTGAAAGTATGTTTTTCAGGGCTCTAAGGGGAAATGTATGGAAGAGATGACTACTCAGGAATCATAGCAAACCTAAATCATACAGAAAAATCTTTGTCCCAGCAGTCATTTTCAATCTCCTGCTAATGGCTAAATGAGGCTATACGAGCCCTAAACTTCCATAATGGCATTTTTTGTAAAGGCTACCACTTCTACATGTGCTTGTTATACACAAGGAGGGATAATCCAGCAAATTTAGTTTGCGTTATGACCGACTCACCATCCTCAACATCTTCCTCCTTGCCAGTCCAGTCCTGGCCAGGCAAACGCCATTCCACTCTATACTTGATAATTGGCACTCCACCCATTGAATCAGGCTCCTCAAACTTTACCACTGCTGTGCTTGAGAAAGGCTCCACTTGTTGAATTACAGGCGATGACGGCACCTCTGCAACGGCAAGCAGGGAAAATAATGTCTTAATACTTTTTTCAGTTTTCAAAAGCTTTTTAAAAAGCCAAAAAAATGACAGCTTTTCATAAACTGCTTTTAGCTTCCATTGTGCACACTATGTTCTTTGCTCTGCTGCAGTGTGGGGAAAAAGAAAAACAACAAAAAAAGGACTAATATTTAATTTTAGGAATCGGTTTGATTAATTTAAAATAGGTTTCAGAGCTTCATAAACTCTTCTTCAATCGACTAATTTGAAATCTAGCAGCAGCAGCAGCTCTTATCATAGCGGCTTTATATTTCTGGCTGTATTTGCATCTCTATCCTCTCTCTCTCCCTCTTTTCATGAAACTCATTTCAGCTTACTACAAAAATGTTACCATGCTGGAAAAGTGCTCACGTTGTGGCTAAAAATAGGATGGTATTTACCACAGTGCAATTTCAGTCCTCACTTGAGATAACAATCACACCCACCTCTGTGAGTACTATGACAAAGGTCCTCACTGACATCATCAGCATTAACTGTTTTCATTTGCGAGGCTTTTTTATCAAACTTAAGAGAAAATGCTTCACATTCATTAATTAACAATTATGACACCAAGTTGCAGCCGTGCTAACTGTGTGCCCGGTACTGAAAGTTTGCAGGGACAGTACAACTTCAGCTCATCCCTGGGATTGATTTAATAACAAAATGAAACTTTCCTCTGTGGACGATGTCATTCTGTTTTTAATCTTTCAGTAGGAAGCCTTTACGATGCTAATCAGTATATTAGTTCTGTGGTACACTGGTCTATTATTTGTGTCCCATGTAAATCACTGGTTAAAAAGTGACAGTTTCTTTTATTCTAGCCTTTTTGTTGCATGTTCATGTCAAGGTAAAACATCTAGATACAGAAAAATGATCAGGTCAATGCACAGAGTATCGCCTTACTGGAAATAAACCCACACAGATCCAGGGGGATGAAGTCTTTTGACTTTGCTGACATTGTAATACCTTTTTTACCAGCAATACCACCGCCGCCACATACTAAAATCATGATTAAGATATGTGTTTAAACAATTATTCCACGTTATTATTAATTCATTTGTTTGGTGTAATGAACATTGCAATGAAACAGGTTCACTAGCGAGGCTGAAGCACGTTAATCTTCTTTGATATCAATCTGCTGATAATTTAAAAAAAGCAAACTGGGATGACTATGTCACTGTCAAGAGGGATTAAACTAATTATAAGCTCATCTGCATATGTCTGCGCGCGTCCTGGATCTGCTTACCCAATGATTTCTTTAATGATGCCTTTTCTGGACTGAGTACCGTGGCTCAAATAGCTTCGTTTGGTCGAGCTCTTTGCCTCACATTACATGCAAAAATGTTCTCACGGACATAATTGCAGAGAAAAGGTGTGGAGACTTATTTACAGGGTTCTTTTTAGGATAACTCTGTTTGGAAGCAGTCACTTTAGGCATACAGACGAGTTATGCAGCAAATTACAAAAAATACCTCAAAAAGCCTACAGGATATTACACAATGTCAGCACAGGGTGTTACCATAATTAATTTGACCACCCTGCATTTAGACAAGGTCCTGAGCGACCTTCTACTTCTAATGGGTCCAAAGCAATTTGCATACCAAATGAAGCTAACGCGAGAAAATAAGACTTAAAGGGCAGTTCCGCTGTGATTTCAATTTTCTTCCATTGCCTGTCTAGCCTGTGCTCTGAGTGTCTCCAAGTCCTGGTTTGTTTTTCTTCCCTATTTATACTGCAGGATGCCTTTGTGCTTCCTCATACACAAACACAATGCCACTTTTCATTTGTATCCAGGCAATACACGCATATCTTTGCTAGAAGTCTTTTAATCATCTGAAGTCAATTCACACCATCCTGACTACACTTTCACAAGTAGATGCTTCAGATCTGCGCACTGTTGCTCTAAATACAGACAAAGCAGATAAATTAGTTCATCATAAATTCTAAATCTTTCATTCATACTTCTCATTCATTACCACTTGTCTTGCATACAGCAGTGGTTCCATTTGTTCCTGCTCTGCTAGAACTTCTGATGGAGATTTTTTTATACCTTTGCTTCCTAAAATAGCTTCTGATTGCATTCAGAAATTACTTTTACATTTTACTGATAAACTGATTGACCTTTCTCTTGGTTTTACTGGTGAGTTGTCAAAGCATTGATCCATATTGGGAATATGACTCTAAAATTCAGTCCATGGCAGTGGTTTGTGAAGTTGTTATTTCACTTCTGCATAAAAGACACTGGCCAGCCTGGAAATGTGAAGTCTCGTCATTTCATTATTTAGAGTGTTTCTTTTGTTTCCCCAAGACACTAAAAATGTCACATAAATGGGAGTAATTTCTGGTTAACAAACCTGCTTGGATAAGAAGGAATTCCTTGGATTCAGAACCCATCACATTGGTCGCTGTGCAGTTGTAACTGCCAAAGTCGTTTTGAGAATCAGGGGTAATCTGAAAGACAAAAAGAGACAAAAACACCAAGAAATATCAGGTTATGTCTCAAGTTTTTGGATGTGAACACAAAAAAAAAGAAAGAAAAAAAGACTCTGACTATATGCATGACGAACTTAAACACAGTGTAGATCATTAGGGTGTAGTCTCACTTAATGCTTTTCTGCTATTTAGCATTTGTGTTAGATCTGGAGCCTGGTTGGTATGCAGATGCACAGATTTCTTGATTTTAATCATTACCCATTGGTTCATTAACACAGTGTCTAGCAGTTGAGTGTGCTCAACACTAGGCCTATAATTATAGTCCATTTAAAGTTGGTCTGGAACTACTTGTTAGCTTTTAATGCAATCTTTCACGTTAATCTCACTGAAACAGTGGCTTATATTAGCCACAATTCATTCTTGTGTAACAAACAGAAGCCTTTTCTGAGCTACGACTCTGTTTTTTTGTGTGTGCGTTTTTGGATACTTCTCAAAAACAATAAAAAAAACGGAGCTGCGTTCTAAGTAATCTGCCAAAATATGTCAAATATACAGAGCATGTTTGTGTGTTTTGTGCCTCTTTATGTCAGTAGAAATCAGCATTAAGAAGACAGATGCAGCACACCTCAAGGTAGCTGACGGATGGTGTGTTATAGATCTTCATATTAGTGCTGTTGGCAGTGGGCAGCTGGAAGCCGTCTCTGAACCAAACCACCGAGGCTCCGGGATGAGCCTCCACCTCACAGCTGATGTTGGCCGGGTTTCCCTCCCATGTATATACTGTCACCGAACCCAGGATCTTTGGAGTATCTGAAGGAATAGACAGGGGAGTGAGGATGCTTGAAACAGATAAGCAGATTGTCAAAGGTTTACTGAAATTACTCAGTGGAAATAAACAGAATCTGACAAGTTAAAGAAAACAACTCTTATGGTTGGCCAAATTTATGCAGATAACTGACAAACCCGTGGAACAAACTCCTTTACTACACATGTGATGCATTATTAGGTAGTGCAGAAAGTAGTACTGGATACTCAATGGGGAGAAAAACAGACGTAACAAAAGAAGACATGCTGGGTGATGTAGGATTCATCAAACAGCACAATAATGACCCAAAATATCTGCAAGATGAAACAGCCAAGATGTAAATACTGCATATAATCAGCTGTATGTGAGTAAAACGTTCACTTTTAAAACAGTCTAAATTGAATCCAACAGGAATCTGCTTGTAAAAAGCAGCACTGATTTTTAAGTATGTGCGGTATAATAAAAACTCCAAGCTCTGTTGAAAAGTCTAAAGGACAGAACGGTATCAGTCAGTTGGATATGGCCATTATATCTTGTCACGAATGGCAGTATTTCCTTTCATCCTTGAAGCTCTTCTCCACATTTCTAGCAGCTTTAATCAAGGCTACCAGTAAAAATACTCGATTTAGAATTCATGGCAGCAGAAAAAAGACATGTAAAACACACTCACTACGGAAAAGAAAGCACTCGTGGCAATGGTGACAAAAGCTACAGTTTTACAGAATGGTAAACAGATGCTAAATGAATTCTAATGCTTTACTTGTGATCTATAAATTTAATGCCTTTTATGGTATGCATTTATGTTTTACAGCCAACTTGTGCTGGTTTTATAAGACATGAAAATGCTTCAGAGAGTTTATGAATGTGTTACAAATAAAAAAACCCATTATAACTAATAATTATAAATTAGCACAACCACTTAGTTTAAAGAAATAGCACTGCTCGGGGTTTGATGACCAGATTATTTTTCTTTGATTTCTTTAATCTTATATGTGCCTGTAGCATACTTATGGATTAGGCAGCAAAAATCAAATAAACGACTGAAACCAAGCAACAGTTTGACCAAGCTATTTTCACTTCCTACATGAAATGAGTTGATACCATATAGCCAAACCTGTTACACTGCACCCCAATTTTTGACAGGAAAACAGACAAGAGTAAAGGTAACGGACGGTAAAGTTAATTAATTCTTCCCTTTATTGTTTCCTTTTAAAATCTCCTGCTCAAATCACTGAGCATTGATTTTAAATTCAGTGAAGTATGCTTTGCTTCACGAGCGCCGTAAAATGCAGTGGCCCCTGACACTGCCAGGGCTTTACTTCTGACCCTAGATCCTTTAAAAGTCTGCAGCATGCTGCGGCTGGGATTGATGGACAAGGCTGAGTCAATAGATGTTCCATCTCCTGCAGCTCTGATTAGATTCTCACTCTTTCTGTCAGTGCTGCTTTTGGTCTCATTGACTCTATAGGGCCTGCGACTTGCCTGTTTGATTTCTGCAGGCTGCTAGCCTGGTATAGGTGAACATAGGAGGAATGCATCTGCCACATAGGGTTCATACATATCAAGTAGGCTGCATAGAGCTCATGTATATTAAATAGACTGCACAGTGCCCATAATGATATCATATAACAAAGTGCATACAAATGCAATAGTTATACAAAAAAGATGACAGCGTCACATTTGCATGACTAGTACATTCATACAAAAGTGGCAGCAACAGCGATACTTACTACACATAATACAAAGACTGCATTACTATTAGAAGGAATTTAGTCTTTTTTAGTGGAACACTGAAATAATACTCCATAAAACTCCCAACCAAAAACCCCTGAACTGTTTTACATTCAAAGTGTTTCCTGTTCAGCTTCTTTGGGGAATTAATCTGTAGTATGAATTAGTTTTTCTTTCTCTCATTGATCTGTCAGTTTCATACAATATGTAATCAATATCAGTATCGCAGAAAGAAATGCTGTCTTATGCCCATACACCAAGTAGGTGAATTAGCTTGTCTTTGGCTATCAGGACATCCTAACTTGAATGAATAATTGGCTATTGCAGGGGTTATTCTTCAATAGAACTACAGGCACCTAACAATGGCTCTGTGCAGCCTCAATACTAAAATTCATCATGCTTGCTGATATTCAGCTGTTAACAACCGCAGGGGAAAAAAGCCATGCATAAGTCTGTAATAAAAAGCAAAATCTAGAGTTACAATTTCTAATTCTCCATCCAGCAGGACTAGGAGAATCAGAAAGAGTATGTAACAGGTGACCTGCTTGGAGCTCAAATAGTGTTTTCATTAGACATTCATGTTAAACAAACTTCAACCTCTGACAAAATGGAAGTCAAACAGAAAGGACATTAACACTTTCCTATCAGTCCTTCAGGAACAAACCTAGACATGCTCAGCCTAGCTAATGGGATCATGCTGTGAGGCAGATAGGAACTTCCATGCTTCGATAACGTCTCCATTGTGTGAGTGGGTGAGCGGCGATAGAGGGGACAGTGAGTGAGAGCTGTGCCCACGACAAAGCACCTTTTCTTATCGATAATTGCTTGGCAACAGTAAATCAGCTACCTGATAATTTGATGATTACTCTAGCAAGCCCTTAAACATCTCTATCAATGCTGAATTGTGATTATATCTCTAAGCAAATTACAAGCGCACTGAGCACAGGGGCATATTAATCCAATTAAGCATCCATTGGCCTTATTTCCCTCTCACACTCTCTCTCTCTCTATATATCTTTTTGTTTGTTAATTAAGTAACATTTGATAGGCGTCAAAATGAGATCAAGTATAATTTTATACACATCAAAGCACTAGTTTATAGTTTGGTGCTGATGGAGCATTAAACCATCACCAGGGTACATACACTGTACTATTAGGGTCATTTTGTTTTTTCTTGGTGCTGTAGCACAGCGGTCCCCAACCCCCGGGCCTCGGAACGGTACCGGTCCGTGAGTCGTTTGGTACCGGGCCGCGAGAGTTGAGGCTCAGATGTGAAATGTGTGGTTTTCAGGGTTTTTATCAGCGTTATTTTGTTATCGTTTTGATCGTTAACTCTGTTTTCCTGGGTCTTTTCAAGTGTGTTATGAATAAATCTTCTTTTTTTCGGTACCGGTACTAGTTTTATTTTGTTGTATTTATCCGCGACACATTAAAGGCTGGTCCGTGAAAAATATTGTCGGGCATAAACCGGACCGCTGCTGTAGCACACTGGAGCTTTGTAGTGTCTATATAAAAAAATCAAACTTGTTGAAATTGTAATTCTCTTGGTACACCGCCCTAAAGATCAAAGGGGCCAACAGTCTCGCACTGTTGACCCTTACTTGGAGTGTCACAGACTCTCACGGTTGACCAGCTGCAGAAAGTACAATTTAGGCTTTACAGCATTTCTTGCAAGCTTCAAAGAACATGTCCAGTCCTGCAAAGACAGATGTGAAAAATGCCCACGATTAAGATCCAGAAACAGTTTTATCTAACTTATTTTTAGTCCTACGTGAAACAACGTCAGCTACACTATGGAGTATATTCAAATACTGTTGTTCAAAAATAAAGGGAAGTTTAAAATCTGCTGTGTACCCCTGAGTGTACCTTTTGACTGGTACCATGCCAAGATGGATGATGAATGTTAACTCTCCATCAAAGGTAATGTGACTGTCCCTGATGGGCTGAGACAAATGCAACCATATGACAGAAGGAAGATGCTGAAAAATGACCAAACTTCAGTCAAGAGAACATCTGAGATGATCCATCCACAACACGAGGTTAGTCATTGATATGCTGCTGTGCGCTCTGGATGATTCTGAACTGAAATCTTAGTTGGCCTCTGACTGATTCTTCGTGTGTGGCAAACTGTGAGCCAATGGGCTGTAGCTACATTGTAAGGTTTTAAAAACTGAGCTTAAAGGGACACTGCACATGAGTAGTGCTACTGGAAAGCCAGAGAGGCTGACAATGACCATAGATTGTTTTTAGAGGCTTCTTCATATCAAATAAAAGAAGATAGATATTAAAAAGACATCAGTAAGAACTAGGATCCAAAAGCAGGGTTGATACCTGATTTCCTGAAGAGTTGTTCTTAATTACCTGTAACTGCTGTAGTACATTTAAAAACACTTACGACACAATGTTATAAGAATGTTATTTTAAATTTAGACATATGGAAGTTTGCTTTTGTTTCTTTTGTGCTGTTAAGTCATTTTTAATGCATCAGCTAATTTGAGAATGGGCTTGAAGATGATACCCTCACCCTTAAGGACTTTAACTGATCTTGCTACTATCTGCGATAACATTGGTCACCTTTCTCACTCACTATGTGCTAACAGACCTCTCCGCATTGAATCATACTTGTTATTAATCTCTGGCTCTCTTCCACAGCATGTCTTTTATCCTGTCTTCCTTCTTTCACCCCAACCGGTCGCAGCAGATGGCCCCGCCCCTCCCTGAGCCTGGTTCTGTTGGAGGTTCCTTCCTGCAAAAGGGAGTTTTTCCTTCCCACTGTCGCCAAAGTGCTTGCTCATAGGGGGTCATATGATTGTTGGGTTTTTTTCTGTATGTATTATTGTAGGGTCTACCTTACAAAATAAAGTGCCTTGAGGCGACTGGTGTTGTGATTTGCCGCTGTATAAATAAAACTGAATTGAATTGAAAATTGATACTGTCAACAGCTTGGTATAAATTAAATAATAATGAAGTAATGTTAGACAAACCAAGCACAGTTTATCTAATGTTTGCTACACCTGACAGTACACATTGCCTCTTTAATGTCTAAATGCTTTTCTATCCTCTCTTTGTGAAACCAGCTCAAGGTTTTGGTGTCACACTGAGACCTTCCATCTAGAGACACCTTTTTGAATAAGCATTAAACATGCATATGAAGGGAAATATCTGTGGAAGATGAGAAAAAGATTTCCACATGCAAGGCAGCCACAAGGCAGCAGTGGTTTAAATCGATGTCATGAGTATCAAGTTATTCTTGACTGGAGAGACATGCTCTCTTGCTCTTACTGTTAAATTGCTAGTGCTATAGATTTCCTTGCCTACAGCTAAAACCATCAGCTAAAGAACAAAACCCGAGAAAGTTCTCTAGGTGCTGTCAGAAACCATTTTTGGAGACAGAGAAAAAAAAAGATCCAGTGCCTGAGCACAGATAGAAGTCGAAAAAAACATCTGGGCTCCATATATGGAAAGAAATGAATTACTGCAGGAACAAACTGACCTTCACTGCCTGATAAATCAGTATATTGTATCACGGTTAACAGATTTTCGTAATTTAACAATAGTAACTAACACTTTTAACATGCTCTTTGAAGACTGTTTTTTGGCTGATGAAACAACTTATAAAAGATAAATGTAGCAACAGAGTTTCCATAAAAGAATTCTTTTAGACACTACTCCTACCCCGTTTCCAACAGACTAAAATGAAACGTTAAAACGATGACATTTTATTAAGCAGATGTCAGCAGCAACAGCAGCTCTTATCAGTTTCATATTTGTACATATACCAGTGCAAACTTATGGTTATCTGTGTTGACAGCAAAGATAAACCACTGGAGCGTGCGGCCAGGCAGAGTTTTGCGACTTACAGCGGACTTCCAGGTACATGTGCCGGGCGTCCTGGCCGATGGAGTTGCTGGCGGTGCAGAGGTACTGACCAGCATATGTGAACTGGACATTTTTCAAGGTGAGAGAGGACACCCGCGCATGACTGCGCACCACCACATTTCTATCAAGGCTCTATAAAGAAGAAGAGAAAGAAATTATTCTCACTTATAAAGCAGGTAGTTTTATATAACACAGGGCTAAAGGATCAGTCTGTATTTGTTGTTTTGCTAGCGCAAATGGGACAAATGAGTAGAAGGTAAAGTGGGAACTATAAACTGAGAAAGCAAGAGTTAAAAAAAAGAAAAAAAAATGTGACGACTGACTGACAGGTGAGCCATGTGAACTGCAGTGCAGAAATACCACAAGAACAGCGGGATGGAGACAACATAAAAGCTGCAGCTGCAATGAACTCTTCTGAGAGAGAATTTAGTATTCCCTGGATGCTATTAGCTGATAAGGCTAAATTTATTCTATGTTTTTTTTGTGTATGTGAAGTGAGTGGAAACAAATCCTTCCTTTAAATCCTAAAAAAAAAAAAAAGTTAGTTGTAAATTTCTTACAAATATGCTGCTAAAATTTATTCTTTTCTCATATATAAAAAAAACACCCAGCACGCCCCTGCGGGCGGTTTATCCTTCAAGCTCGGGTCCTCTACCAGAGGCCTGGGAGCTTGAGGGTTCTGCGCAGTATCTTAGCTGTTCCCAGGACTGCGCTCTTCTGGACAGAGATCTCCGATGTTATTCCCGGGATCTGCTGGAGCCACTCGCCTAGCTTGGG